GAATTCAAATTCGATTACAAAATCAAATATTTGATTTTATTCAAATTCGATTACAAAATCGAATATTCGATTTTATTCAAATTCGATTACAAAATCAAATATTCGATTTTATTCAAATTCGTTTACAAAATCAAATATTCAATTTTATTCGAATTTGATTGACATATTTGCATTCATACCTCAAAACACCTTGAAACAGAAAATGAAAAACAAAAATTATAAAAGAGGGTGGGCAATTGAATTTGTCACACTTCTAATGCAAAGATTTGAAAAAAAAAAATGAAATCAAAGCCCAAAAAAACATAGATTTTTGAAACCATTAAACAAACACCAAATCCTTAGTCATCAGAGGCCATAAAACCCTTCAGTCTCATCTTCTTCTTTTCTTATGGTATTCCTATTCTCAACCATATTTTCTTCCTCTTCCTCTTTGCCTTCTTTGACATCAATTCCAACCATATATTGCCTTCTTTCATAGTGGCTCATGGTTTATTGTGTTACAAGACGAAGAAAAAAGCTTTGGAGCTTGTGTAGCAGATCTCGAAGATGCTTTAACTATTCATCTACAAGAAGCTTGACTGCAACTATTGAATGAACTTGTGTAGCAAATTTTGAAGATGCTTCATCTACAAGTAGCTTGATTGCAACTACTGCATGGATAGATGCAATCATGAGGATGAAACAGTGTGAGGTTGGCAAATTTTGGATTTTTTTCATTAAAAATATTATAATATTAATATGGTTTTTCATAAAGTCATCATTACTTTTGATATGCTATGTTTTATTGCCTTTTTTAATAGGGAAATTGTCAAAAACCCACCATGAGTTTTCAGCATTTCTCTTAAACTCACCACAACTTTTCAAAATTTCTAAAACTCACCATGCCATTAACTTGACGTTAAAGAGACTAATGGTTGTTAATATATTACAATTTTAACCTTCATAGAAAAATATAAAATATATACATATATTTTAATATTTAGACATAAAAAAGGAAAAAAGTTCAAAAAATATTTACAAATATTAAATACATAAAAACAGAGAAATTACAAAAAATATAAAAAATTATAGAAATTGCACACAAAATAAAAAATATATTTTCAAATTATAGAAACTATAGAAATTGAAAAACAAAATCAGAAAATAAAAGTTGTAGAAAAAACACAAAAAATTATAGAAAAACATAGAAATTGCAAATAAATAACAAAAAATATAGGAAATTGTATAGATGGTAGAAAATAGAAAAAATGTAAAAAAAAACAGAAATTATAAAAGATAATAGATTTTACACTAAAAATGTAAAAAAAAATTGAAAAATGAAAAAGACCCTTTTTCCTCTAACTTGTCATTCAAGGGTGATTTGGTCATAAAAATTGTTATTTATGCTGGCATAGACACCTCTGTTAAGAAACATTAACGGTGCACTAACGAAAGGTGGTTTTGAAAAATAAAAATTTACTAACATTGTGAGTTTTAGACGTTTTGAAAAGTTGTGGTGAGTTTAAGAGAAATGGTAAAAACTCATGGTGAGTTTTTGACAATTTCCCTTTTTTTATAATATAATACTATTAAAGAAAGTAAAGGTGATTTGTCAAAACATCAAATCAATATCCTCGTCAAAAAAATAAAGTAATACATTTACTTCTCAACTCCGAATTCGATTCAATAAATTAAACGGTAAGAATGAGATTTTTGAATTTGATTCGATTGTGCTAGATCTCGAATTCAAAATCAGATTTTTGAATACCGTGGACACCCCTACAGATAAGTAGAAAAACTGCTGTCACAGCAATTCCAGAGCATTCAAACTTGAACAGCCCACCTTTCTAGGCACAAAACAGGATTACTCGATCCACACAAGCTGAGAAATCACCCTTTCACAACAACCACTGGTCATTAGACCTACATAACCCACTTACCTGGGTACAAAAAAGATCATTTGATCCATAGAAATTGAGAGAAAATAGAGAAAAACACCCTTATATAATTTAGTCTCCCTTCCCTAGGTGTTTTCTTGGTCCACGACCAAAAGGGAAAGGGGAGAATTGCACCAGAGATCCTTTCAAGTCAACCCGATGTACTCTTCCTTAGGTTCGATCCACAAGAAATAGAGAAAACTAGAAAAACTGAGAAAAAACTTGGTTGAACTGCTTCTAATCCCAAATCTATTGCTCTGATACCATGTTTTCTTGGTAAAACTTCACTAGGAAGTAAGAATAGAGAGAAGAATGAAGAGAGAACAAGGAAGAAAGAAGAGAGAAAGAGATTTTGGAGTTGTAAACTTGGCTGGGGGTGCTAGCTTCTCTTATTTATATTAGGGCATCCAGAAATATTAAAAATAAAAGCAAAATTACAAATGTGCCCCTTCAACACTAAACATGAGAATTTTAATAGTTTTAACAATACCACCATAGAAACTGAAGCAAAATAAAACAAAGAATATAATCCAAATCAAGAAATGATATATGCGCAGTCATTGACACAAAGGTTCTTAGAATGCATTATGTTATGATCAATTTGTCCCATGTTGGTAGTATGGGATGCTAATGTAAAGTATCCCACATCAGTAGAATGGGATGCTGTTGTGGGGTATATATGTGCTTGGGTTCCCTCCCTCTAACAGCTAGCTTTTAGGGGTTAGTTCTCCTAAGGAACATAACAAATGGTATCAGAGCCTACACTATGCCTCCCAGTTGCAATCGTGCGGCGCAAGTGGTGACATCGGTATTGCAGTGCTCAGCCAGGACTAGGTGGACTAGTGCAAAGCCATGCATGGGCACCGGAACTGCGGAAGCATGGTGGGATGTTATGATTCATTTGTCCCATGTTGGTAGTATGGGATGCTAATGTGAAGTATCCCACATTGGTAGAATGGGATGCTATCGTGGGGTATATATGTGCTTGGGTTCCCTCCCTCTAACAACTAGCTTTTAGGGGTGAGTTCTCCTAAGGCACATTACTAGAAACAACCTTAGTAAGAATAAAATAAGACAAGAAAAAAAAAACACAAAGAACGTTGAGCTAGCCAAACTATGAAATAGCTTCAGACTGGTTGTTTTAAATTGTCAACAACCATAGAAGACTTTGAATCTTAAGTGAAGATTCAATCTACCCAAGCGGTAACTTCCCCATTAGGTGCTAGCTCTGTTTTTCTTTAAAGAGTTATTTGTCAACGTTGTTTGATGCCATAAAGATTCACTGATGAATGATCAGATAAGAGAAAGTGATCTTTTGAGTACCAACTTCTGTTACTCACATGAGAGAAGGAAAGGAATGAAGGGTATATCCGTGAAACCGGCTGTCACTCTTTGGTTGTCGAGTTGGGGAAGATGATTAGTTCTTCTGGAGAAAGTTCTGTTTAATTTTTGGCGTTTTTACTGTTCATACACCCCAAAAAATCTTAACTCCACCGTACAGGTGGGATGAATCCTGACCGTGGATTGATGCCAAATCCACAGGCAAGATATGATTTATAGTAGGGGGGGCTACTAGTAGACAAGGAGGAGGTTGTAATTTCAGATTTCTGAGGTGGAGTGCAGTCTACTTATCCCTTAATTTTTTTGGCACATGTGAGACAGGTGTGCATGTGAACGACGACGTGTTAAAATCCAATTGGAAGTCCACCCCAATATACACGAAACCTGGACTCAAAAAGGCCTTATGTTAGGGACTTTAAATTGCATGGGGGAGTTACCAAAAGAATCCAAGTGAAGTCTCATGTATAGTGGTGGGTTATGGGAATTCAAAATATGGTTAATGGGACTTCAAATGGTTGAAAATCATGGGAAAGTTAAAAACATTTCGGCCCCGTTCACTTTTCGATACATTACTTACCTGAGTAAATGCAAATTACCTGGGTAAGTTTTTCCAAGTGTTGATAACTTCCCTTGTGTGAAAAAGTTATTTACCCACCTAAGAGTTAGGTATCACTTAAGTGATACCAAGAAAAATAAACTCTCTGGTCCCCTCATAAAGTTAAAAATAGAATATGGGATTCTTGGTCAATGAGAACCAAAATCCCATTGACCAACTTTTCCCCTTCTCCAAATCCGAAAAAAGAACCCCCCTTCATGTTATGCTAACGGGCATGGTGCTATGTATGTGTAACGTTAAAAATTTCCCAAACACCAGGAAATATGTACCGCTGTTTTTCCCTCTGCCCAACCAAACACCACCAATGCAAATGAGGTGGCAACCGGCTTAGCACTTTGCATTTACCAAAACCAGCGGAATGTAACACTTTACATATTTGTGTTTGCACTCTTTCCAAACAGAGCCTTAAAATCAAACACAAAAATGCAAAATTACCTTTATTAGCCATCTTTAAATGACTTGGAATTTTTCTCCCCCAGTCGTCGTCCTTCAAGTCTTCAACACTAGAGCAATGAAGTATTCAACAAATGTGTATTGTCACTGACCTACTACTACAACCCTTGGCCTTCGTCATCAGGAGTCCCTCAAATCCGAAAAGGGAAGACAGCACCTCGTCAAATATGTCCAGAGGCACGAGCGCACCGTGGAGGTGTGGACAAGGGGGAAACCGAAGGTGGGTGGGTTACAATGAATCTCCTATGGGAATCTTGTCTTAACGTTCACCAAAAAAAGGAATCAGTCAAATGGAACATTAGGCATGCCCTGATATTCATACAAGCATGTCAATAATACAGATTTAATAAATGGGGTGGAACAAAGCATAGAAGATGAACACAAGTACCAACAAATATAATGGCCAATAGCTGAAGTCCCATCCATCAGAAGAAACCAAGGCCCAGTGTGGAACGAGCACAAATACAAAGACCTATATTCTGTATTATTTTTGTTTGTACTTGCACTGTACATATTTACGTAGAGTGCATATCCTTGTATTCTGTATTATTTTGTATGTATTTATACTGTAATATTTGGCATTTATACTCCTTCCAAACAGAGCCTTAAGGTTAGGAGGTCAATTGATCATTCATCTAGAACATGAAGTCTGCCTTTCTACCAAAAACACCATATAATCTAGCAAAATATTCACTGTAATAACCAACAAAGGAAAATGACCAACCATAGTAATAAGATAAATATTGTCTTCAAAGGAAACTCAAAATACCAATTTGATAAAAAAACAAAACTTTTTGCAAGATGGTTTCTTCTAGTACACTAAACAATTTAAAAACTCGAACCAAAAGTCTACCGAGACAAATCTATAATTAGGCCTTAAGCCTCCCATAGAATTTCTGCTTCTCATTTGTAGTCTGGAAACGACCATGTCCAAATTTAGAAGAGGTATCAATGAACTTGAGTTTTATCTCCTCCAAGGCCAGACGTGATGTCTGCTTCAAGAGGGACTGGCGAAGTGTAACGACCCTCTTTTTAGGGCCGACACAGCATCCTTTGATTAGGATGTAGTCATCCTTCACCACACCATAGTGAGGGAATCCACCCATTGGAGTAATATCCTTCTCAGTCCTGTCATACTCGGTCATTGCAGCGTGAGACTCCTCGCCAGCCTTGCCCACTTTGTAAATCTTCTTGTTCATTTCAGTGCGATGGTGGTATCCATTTTGACCAGCCCTGGCAACCGTAAAGGAAACCCTGGCAGGGTGCCAAGCACCAATACAAGCCACCTTTCGGAGACCTCTGTGCGTCTTGCGAGGCAGGCGGGTGACACCCCAACGAGTAACAACACCCTCGTAACCTTTACCTTTGGTGACACCAATGATATCAATCATTTCATCCTTCTGGAAAATTGCATCTATAGGGACCTGCTTCTCAAAGAAGCCATGTGCAAAGTCCACCTTCTGTGCAACGGTTCCACCATTCACTTGGATCTCCATCAGATGTGCCTTCTTCTGTTTCAACCCTTTCATCCTTCTGATCTGGCACACATAATAACCAATTTTCAACTTGTAAACCACAGGCATACAGCACATCAAGTCTAACACCCAGTCGTTATCCTTAGTTACTTGTTACTTGACTACTCATATATGTGCACCAAGTATTTGATTTGTTGCAGTCTTGAATAATTAAGAGTAAGGGAAATAACAAATTTAAGTTCCTACAAAAAGTTGTGCCTATTAGAAACAGAACTACAAATATATAGTATAAAAGACAAGAAAAGAATTAAATAGTGATCAATCAATTTGTGATATTTACATAATAAATTGCTCAACGTGAGAACTGAACGTATGATAGGAAATGACAATTGAGATTTTGCTTTCTGACCTACAGAAAGTTACCGCACAAAGTATTCTACTGAGTTAAGTTTTTGTCTCTAACAGTACCATTGGAATTACCAGCTTATTCAGCTCCTCAAAATTTTCCCTTAAAGCATACATCATAGAAGCTTACTCACGTCTCCATGATGTCATGGTCAAGGTGAAATTTACAGGATTACAAAACCCAATAATAGGAAATATCCAAATATTTCATTACTATATTACCCTATATTCTTTTTAGTAATTCTGTGAAGAATCAAAAACATAGCACAATCCAGACCATGAAATGCATGCATACTAAATAACTAATTAATTAGGCAATTGATAGATCAAAAGAAAAATTAGGACCTGAGTGTGAGCCAAAACACGGATGACAGAAGCATATTTCTTCATTTTCTCAAGCTGTGCCTGGATATCTTTCTTTCCATCTTCAGTCCCATACTTCTCAGAGTACTTGCTAAAAGCCTTCTTCTTGGACTTGCACCAGTTCTTGTAAAACCTTCTTTTCACCTCCTCACTAAGATGCTGAGCCCAAACTGTACTCAGAGTGCGGAGGCCACGTGGTGTTTTCACATAGCCCACAACTCCAACTACAACCATTGGAGGTGTCTCAATGACTGTCACAGCCTCACAAGTCTCCTTCTTGTGAAGTTCTACAAGAATAATGACATTAAGAAGATACATGCCTATTAGAAATCATATAAAAATAACCTCAAATAATAAATCCTAGCTCACAATACAGTGAATACAAAAGGCTTACATTAACAATTCACACAGATCTCCTACAAAACAATCAGGTTATGTAGGAAAAAACTTATATGCCAGTAAGAATTATAAAACAGAGTGACTCACACATACACCATTTCAAGGCAGAAGATGGGCATTGTTCATTGCAGGGGGCAAACTAAACATAGGCATCAAGTTGCCTTCCTAAACATGGTAACCAATGGAGCAGCATAATCATGGATGAATGGACTTTCAAGACTGTAACTAAATCATAGTAGAAGAACGCATGACTTGCTAGAGAATAACTTAGCAACATTAACTACCCATCCGTTATCATAAATAATTTAATTTATGGAATGACAGAAGCCAAAAGGTCTATTCATATATAAGCCAGATAAAAATATCATGAAACTATCAATATGGAAAACAAATCCCAGGGGAACGAGAAAGAAAAAAATACTAACAAAGGTTCTTACTTGATCCAGGTTTGTCGACTTCTCTGACAATGTGGGTCATCCCGGCCTTGTAACCCAAGAAGGCAGTTAGCTTGCAAGGCTTGGTTGGGTCATCCTTGGGGAAAGCCTTTACTGCATAATTCACAAAATAAACAAAAAAAGAAATATCAGATTAACCAATTAAAAAACAAGGTTTCAAAATGAATCTAGCCAAGTGATTAACATCTGATCACGCTTGAAAGGAATTAAAATAAGAACGCAATCTAGTTTTCAAAGTAAAAAATGGAAAGAAAAAAATTCCGTAACAATTCCTCTAATGAGAATAAAGAATAAAAAGTAGTGGCGGGAAGGTAAAGCATATAAATATAATAAACTAGAATAAGATGACCTTGATTATTAGAAGAAAACTACTTTAAATTAGTTACTACAACAATAACACAAGTCCCCTGATTGATCTCGTTGGTTGATAAATGATGCGTTTGGTGTTTTGTTTAATCCCTTAACATAGATTTCAAAATACTGAAACCCAGAATTTGAAGAATGGTATAGTATTTTTTGCTAAAACATTTTCATAAGGCATCTAATACTGAACTCCCTTAGGTGTCTATACACTTTCAATTCATTCAGATATGAAGGCCCCAAAAATGAGCATGTTAGGAAGAACATCAATCGTAAACAAGGAAGAGAAAGTTAACAGAAACAAAAAAAAAAACAAAACCAATATAATATAACCAATGAAAAAGAAGATTATATATCAGAACTATGGTGGGCATGTGTTAGATAGAATTACAAATATTAATCATACCCTTTCCTCGGTGACGAGAAGCCCTCTTCCTTGGGAGAAATCCAAGGGAACCATGCCTAGGGTGCTCAAACTTCCTGTGAGACATTCTTGTCCTCCTTCACCCTTCACCCTGTAAACAAAGTGCCCATTCGTCATCACAAAGAATTAACAATAAAAGACCAGCCAAAAAACAAAAAAGCATCGATTGAAGGTCAACGTAGATCCTAGTATAGAGCAAAGGGGTTTGAAGAATACAACAGAAACACCATAAACAATCAATGACACCCACATTATAGTTTTTAAAAACCAAACTAGATGTGTACAGATCTACTTATATACTAAGAATAGAAGAATGCATTTACGACTATCAAAACTCTAACCCCAGTCTTCAAGAACCACCTAACTTAGATTCAGCAAACTTAGATCATGGGGGAAAAAGCTTAGATTTCAATGAAAATCAACAAAATGAATCCGACGGATTGACGAAAATCCCAGTAGACCAACCGGAGAATGAGAGGGGAGGACGGAGAATCACCTAGCGATCACTTCGAAATAAGGAGGGAGGATTGGAGGAACCCTCTTGCGGCTTATGCCTCCCGCTTCAGAACTCTGCACAAAACCCTACCTCTGGATTTTATAGTTATAGGATGTGGAGAGGCAAGCAACGATGAACGAGGCAAATTCGCACCCTAAAAAGCAAAAAGACTTTATTTATCCGATTATTTTATTCAATGACATCTATATCCTTTTATTGTGTGAGCTTTCATTTGCGTTGCAAGTTGCAACTTGGGCTTGATGGGCCGCTTCATCCAGTCGTTTAATTTTATTGTTCTTGGGCTAGAGACCCTCTCTTATCTTTTCCGATTTAGAGGTGTAAATCCGGTCGTATCGACACGTGGGTCAAACCAGGCCGTGCTTCCTTCCCTGAGATAAGTTGGAGGGTCAGTCCATCATAGCCCACGTCATGGGCCCGTGCCAGCCCATGGGCCTCGGCCAAGCAGGCTGCATGCTATGTTGTGGGCCTGGGCTATGCCAAGTTGGGCTACAAGTCGAGCCTGGGCCGAATTGGGTTAGACTTTTTTTTGTTTTCTTTTTGACATTTTGATTTTTTATTTTTTTAAATAAAACTAAAATACTTAACTTTTTTTTAGGAATAAATTGAAAAAATAAAAATTCTAACAAAGAAATGAAAAAATACTTAACAAAATACAAAATGGACAATAGATTGGAAAAAAATAAGAATTTTATTTCATTTAAATTTGAAACTTGAACAATACAATGGTCAAAAAATACTTAACAAAATGGAATAAAATGTAAAAAAAAATATAATGCAATTACAAATTAAAAATAAAAAATTACATTGTTGAAAAAATAACAAATAATTTAAATAAAATTGAATAACAAAATTTACAATAATTTAAAAAAAAATGCTACAAAATTATTGAGTATACAAAAAAAATATTGCCTTCATCATTTTTCTTCAAGTTCCACCTCCATCTCCATCTTGATTTTGATCATCTGTGTCACGTGAATAATCAAGTGTAATGTCATGCCCTCCTTTGTCTTATAATTTATCCTCAGTATCTAGCCAATTTTTGAAATAGAGGCACATCTCCGTACTTTCATTATTCATGCAGTTTCTCTTGTCATCTAGCACTAGAGCACCCTAGTATCTGCACTAAAACAAGACTTTGATGGAACTGTAAACATTAGAGGGGTTAGTAAATTACGTGTCATGACGGTAAGGACTGGATAATTTTTTCACATCCACTCCACTAAGCTAAAATATCAACATTATTCATTTCTTCTGAGTTGAATGAATCACTTAAACTAGAAAAATTTGCTTGTAATTACAAATTAAGTTTAGTAAATGAACATGTTGATGAGATGGCACCAGATTTCTGCCTTATACTTATGTAAAGACAAAACTCTATCTTTTCCACTATTGGAGCTAGTTGTTTCATAAGTGGAAGTTGCACCTATACAAGTTGCATATTTTCTATGCCCTATCATTTGAGATTCATATAAACTATACATTTTAAATAATAAATTATTAAATTTTTCCTTTTGATTTCCAATTTCAATATTCATATTTTCACAATATGATTCAAGTAAACTGTCTAAATCATCTTTCCTAATCTCATGATCTAATATTGCATCTAAACAATAAAGAGGAGAAATGTCCTCCCAATATTTTTTAAATTTATTTTTCATTATTTCAATAATTCTTGTAAAGTGTAGATTTTTTTTTATATTTTGCAAAACATTCACTAATCATGTATAATTTATTAACTAAAAGGCAACTATTTGGGTGTAATAAACATACAAAAAAAAATCACTAGTTGCATCATAAAAATTGTGTAAAAAATCTCTTATACAAATTATCATTTCCCAATCTTCCTCAAGTATAATATCTTGTGGCATTTTTGCATTATAAAAAATAGTAAGAATTTGTTTGTAGAGAATACAATTTCTAACATAAAATTGGTAGAATTCCATCTATGTTGAACATCTAACATAAAATATTTATATTTTAAACCATAATTATGACATAAATATTTAAATTCTTTTTTTTTTTGCTCTAAAACTTTTAATACATATAACACAATTTCTAATTTTAAAAATATGATGAGAAATAATATTTGAATCATTTTGAATACATAAATTTAAGATGTAACATGCACATCTAATATGAAAGAATTTACCATTTAAATATTGTTTTAATTGAGATTTTAAAATATTTATTGTTAAATCATTATTGCTGGTGATGAGGAGTAATTTGGCACGACTTGGTAAATAAAAGTCACGTGAACGCGATCTACACGTAGGATGACAACTCAGCAAGGGGAACCTAGTTAGCACTATGCAGAGCTTGGCGTAAAGTCACTTCGGCAACAACTCACCTCGACTTAATGCCACCTCGGCTGCTAATTGAGTTCGGGGCCCGGGAACCGAAGTGACACGTAATAAATCCCAGTAGCTTCTTAGTAGACTTCGGATATTGCGGGATCATACTGCATAACGACAAGCCTTATCTTCTCCCCATCCGAATCGAGCGGCGATAATGAAGTTCATTGACTGATACGTTACTCCCCGACCAAAGCGGGAATGGATCTCACCCATTCAGGCCACAGATCTTGGAACTATTCCGAGAAACTCGTAATAACTCGGCTATATAAAGGCGTCAACTCCTCCATGGTCCAGGTACGCGCGATTACTTGCATCCAAGCTCTCTAGCACTCAGATTCTAGCTCGCAATCACAACATAGTACTGATTTAAGCGTCGAAGCGACCTCGTCGGGTTAACCGCCCCGAGTGCTCTAATACTCTGTCTTGTAGCTTGGTCTAGCTCGCTACACAACTAAGTTCTAGATCATCCTCCAGCTAGGAGCTTCCAGATCGCGCACCATTAATTGGCATCGTCTGTGGGAACACGATCGAAAGGTCATCCCAATCTCTTTACAGTTTCAAACTCGGTCTCAATCTCAATGGCATCTTCCAGCCACAATGGTAAGGGTAACATGAACATCACAGGGGGCAAGAGCAGCAGATAGTTGCTCCCCAAGGACTCTCGGTGACAATCGGTCAGTTCACCATTCCTCTGACCATATCTGGAGTCCCATCACTGTCTGCACCCCACGTTGCCCAACAGGTGAGTGTCCCGCTCCCCCAGGTGAGCACCACATTCTCGAAGCCTTCTGTGATTCCCCCTGGGATTGGACACTCCCAGTTCAGTGACCTCGTCCAGAGTGTCCGAACGATGCAGATTCAGATGTAGTAGATTCATCAGTTCCAGCAATATTACTTTTATCAGCAGTATTAGCAGCAGTTCCCACCACTGCAACCAAACCAGCCGGCGAACAATTTGCGCCAGTCCCTGCCTCTCAAGGAGAGAACTTCGCAAGTATTGGCCCCCAATTCGAGACGTACCCCATCTTGGGGTGTTGTAGGCGATCGACGTACCCCCTACCTCTCGAAGAGAAAGCCCAAGGAGTAGACCCGGACCTAGCTAGCCCGAGAGGCACAATCGACAAATTTCTCATGTGGAGCACCGATCCGAGGTCTGAGGTGCGGGCTCCAGGAGAGACCCCTCGGTTCCTCACAGCAGCCTGCACCGAACACATGACGAAGAGGAGGCGGTGAGAAGAATCTCCGAACCAGCTCGCCCTACTATTCGAAGTAAGATCGAAGTGCCTAATAACAGGGAGGCTAGCATTACAAATGTCATTCCACCGAAGAAGCAACAGCGGCAACGTTGCAAGACTCGCCATTCATCAGTAAGAAATGATCCAGCAGCAAAGCCCAACCATCCGGCTGACTAAGGTCGGGAAAGAGAGGAGGTGAGCTCGGTGGCCATAGGAACAACGCCTGCTCTTTTGAGTCGGCCTTCTCCCCAGACACCTGAGCTTCTAGCAACCCCCATGCCGAAAGATTTCAAGGTCCCACCACTACACAAGTACGATGGGTCCTTTGATCCCAATGATCATGTGGTCGATGAGGCTTGTATGTGCGTGACTTTCTCCACCACGTTCAAAGGAGTAGCTCGGACCTGGTATAGAAACCTGGAACTGGGTTCCATCAGAAGTTGGGCGCAGTTCGCAGACATGTTCACGACCCACTTCATCACTAGTAAGAAGTGCCCGAAGTCACAGGAAAGCCTTTTGAACGTGGTGTAGAGGGAGGGAGAGTCAATCCGCAGCTATATCGAACGCTTTAATGAAACATGCCTGCAGATACCGAACCTTGACCAAGCAGTGCGTTTCACCGCAGCATGCAAAGGCATCACCCATAAAGAGTTCAAGTGGAACGTTATAGCCAACAAACCAAAAAATATCACCGAGTTTCTTTAGTTGGCAGACCAGTTTATCAACACTGAAGAGGAAATAAACTAGAAAATTGACAACCAGCTAAACAAAAAAAGGAAGGGGGAGGAAGAGGGGATGAGCAACAAGAAAAGAAAGAAAAGTAAGTCCCCAAGCGAAGAAGCAAATCCCCTTCACGAAGTTATAGGTCAAGTCAGCGTTTCAGGACCCCTCTAGTGGAGAGGAAGAACTACACCCCTTCGAACACGAAGCGAGGAGAGATCCTAATGGCAATAAAGGATTCCCCTATCGTCAGATGACCACCTAGACTTCCCAAAGACCCAACGACCAGGAACCCAAACGTCTATTGTCACTTTCATCGGGACCACAGTCACAGCACAGAAAATTGTAGAAACCTCCGTGATGAAATTGAAGGGCTGATCCGTCGTGGATACTTGAAAATGTACATTCTACACGAAGAAAAGGAACAGGGGAACCGACAAGGAGATAGAAAAAAGACGCCCCAGAGAGTAGCAGACAGAATGAACAGCCACCTCGCCCGCTACCAGAAGAGAGACCGATCCGTGGAGTGATTAATATGATCACCGGGGGATCTATTGTAGCGAGGTGCACAGTGGCGGCTGAGAGAACATCATTCCGAGAGTTAAAACACGAAGCAAAGAACTCACCCAAACGACCTCGGATTAAAGAACCAATCTACTTTACCAAGGACGACGCCCGTGGGATCCAGTATCCTCATGACGATGCCTTGGTTGTGAAGATGGTCATCAATGACTTTGAAGTAAGGCGG